GCAATGTCGAAAGCGTCGAATGAGCAAACAGAATAGGAAAGTTGGAACACGTTTTTTTCCTTGTCTAACGCTCGTGAACAAACATAAGCATTAAGTGGTCTGTCTGAAGTTGCTTCAGTACCTGCACCGCCTAGTTACGTTAAATACACGACCAAAATAACATTACCATTTAAGCTGGTAATAAAATTTGGTATTTCCCAACCTGGTGAATGAAACTTAATGAAACGTTGTCGTGATTGTCAAGTATTAATTTGTCGTGCGTATATTTATTAATTTGGTATTAAAGTTAGCTCTAGCTGACAGTTTTTGATTTATTTATATATCTTATTTGAACTGTATATTAAAAGTGGAAGTTAAGATTTAATTAAAAGATGAGGAGTTGGTAGATATAGAATGAAAGAAGGATTGTAAGTTCCTGCATTAATTATGTCTCGCTGTGTGTGTAGCTCCAGCTGGTTCTTGGAATTATGAAGAATAGAAACCTCTCAGCCTTGCATGGACTTCATGCAACTCTAGTGTGCAAAACTTCAGCTGGATGCTCGATTATTCGTTGGTCTACAAAATGGGTACAAACAGAAAAAGAGCAATATCTAGCTACTAAAAACCGAAAGCGCCTTATGATCATGAGCCAGTTAAGTTAAGTATTGTAAAATCCGGCTAATAACAACCTTTTTTTATTTTGTGAGAACAAAGCGGACAAACCTGAGCAAAGAAAATATTAAGAAAAACCAGGGTAGTAGAGTCGGATCGTTTTGCATGTAAATGACGTTGAAGAGCGACATAGATCATAGCCTACAACAGATGTACTCAAAACTATAACAAAGTTCTCGAATGCGATTGGTTAGCACCAGCTGGATTTATAACCGATCTGTCATTCAATTCTGTCAGTAATCATACTAGTGATTAACAAATCAGACTTCCGCTTCGTGGTCGTCTGACGAAATACAAGAGAATCATTTGTAGCTCACCTGAAGGGATTACTACTTTACTTAATTGAGAGTGTTTATCCAACCGTCGCCAGCCAAGATCAATACTAATAGGCAGCAGGTTAATATTTCATTCAGTACAATAACTGGAAGAACTAAAACATTTCATTTGACAACAATTAAAGAGTCTTTTGTGACCTGCTGTCTTTGCTGGACCCTTCATCGCTGTGACACGTGTAGTGAAATTTTGATGTATGCGAATCTTTCTTTGCTACACCCAAATACAAATTAAACGGGTGTAGCATTAGCCCTCGAGGCTCTTACGCTTTATTAGATCTGTATACTGTTCATCAAATCTCTATGCTTTTCCTGCTTTTTTACATCGCAACCATAAATATCAGAGGTTTTTTAATAAGTAAGGTTTGTCATAATTTTCCTCTTTTCTTTATTTCCGAAGTTTTTTAGGATAAAATCAATTTTAACAGAGAAAGGCCAGTAGACCTTTCCATTTAATTACAGCGATAGGAATGAACTTACATATTAATTTATTATCTGTTAACGAACGAATGAATTCTACATATGTCAAGTTAGTGAAAGATGATTTTACTGAAAACCGCTGAAGCAAGCGACAAAGTGGCATTAATAATCTTTGCGAAGTGATCCTCAATCACAGATTTTCCCAAAGTGTTTGACGGAAAACCCTGCGTGTTCGCAACAATAGAAGCAATAATAACCAAATCAAAGCGAGTCGTGCATGCTGAAACAGACTCTGAACCGTGTTTTACTTGTACATGACTAAAAGCTCTTTGGGGTGCAACAAAACACAGCCAGTTGTTCAATTTGATGAAGGAACATCCAAGACTTTCTTTCAGTGTCAGGGAGTTGATTCACGAATGAAGAACGAAGGCCGCGGTTATGGCGGAACACACATGGAGGTGTGCTGCAGCTATCAGTACCGCCCTAATACTAATATTGTAAAAGCAATGCACTCTTAAAGTTTGGCAGTCAACTGCTATCGACTTGTGATTAAAACATTCATGCAGGTAAAATGAAAATGTTTTCGGGAATGATCATAGTACGTTCTAAAGAGCAACACAGTAAAGCCAAACCTGTAGTTAACACACTTGAGCAGATCAACAAATTTGCAGCGTCACTCAATCCCGAAAGTAAACCGGATTTCCTTTGTCAAAAACCAGGAAAACGTTATCAGCAGCTTGTCTTCGGCGAAAGTTCTTGATGTGCCACAAAAAGGTTTTAAACCCAAGATCTGACAAAATTGCTCAACGACTCGAAGGAAAGTAATCAACAAACTCTCAAATAAGCGTGCAAGGAATTTAGCAATTTGGTTCATCATCATATAATTATGTAAATGTCAGGCCGTGATCGGGTCGGCATAATGAGTAACGTCTCTTACTTCTGTTATTCCTTACCGGCAAGAACAGTCCAAATTACTCCTTTCCACAAATTCGTAAACTCACTTCATTCCCTGTAGACATAAAGCAACACCATTCTCTATCCACTTAGTCTTGTTCTGTGCAGCATGCTCTGCCTCATCCCACATGATTTTTATTTCACCGAGCTCAGCTATGACCAACCCATTGCCCAACTAGGTTTCATTTTACACGATGGTTTTGAGCGCGGAGTAACCCTTGGGAAACGAGCTCGATTCGTTCTCACACGTGTAACACCCATTGGATTCGGCGACTGCGTTTGATTTCCATGACATAACTCTGACGACCAGTTTTTCTCCTAAGATTCCTTGTCGATAATCTGTTTTGCGACAAGGTTTGACAAATTTTTCGTGGACGCCCACCTTGGAAGGACCTAGGTTTGCATATATCACACTTAATGACACGCTAGCATTCTGTAACGTAAAGTTAGACAGATTTGAATCGGCTGTTACACAGACAGGCCTTAGTGTCAACAACATTAGACTAATTTGATGCCCTTCCAAGTTAAAAGTCGGGGGTGGTGTTAACAACTCTATCTCGTAAAAACTATTCGCCCAAAGAATTGAAAACAAATTCAAATCCTTCGCACCCAGTTAACCATGCGCCTGCCATGCAAACTTATCCTCCTTCCCAGAATTCTTCTCGCCATGGAGTAAAGTTTGAAAACTGAAAGAACAATCAAAAGGAAGATGAACCCTGTTTATTTCACCATCATGGAAAGCTTGAAAGCGTTGTTGGCCCGTTCCAACCACTGTATATATTTCATTTTTATTACCCCATGGCTCATATGCGCCTGTAAATCGCGCGTGTACGTGATTTTCCGTAGTGACGGAGGAGTGCACCTCATAAGGATAGAAAACGTAGCTAGAAACAATAAGAACTATTTGTTGTCAAAACTGTTATTAGCGTATTTCCGAATTTTTGGTCAAGAGCTTTGATGGAAAGAAAACGTTGTTCGAGGTTGGTCAAGCCTCAACTTATATGCAGCCTGTGATCCATTGACAATTGAAACAGAGTAAGACGTAAAGAGGTTGATGTCGTCTGCTGTAATTGATGCCAAGATTACAATTTCCTTTTTCGAGCATCGGTAGGTGCTCTGGAGTGGAAATTCTGTCTTCGATTTTGATTTTTTTCAATTCATTTTGGTGAATAATTTTAAAAATACCAAGTTTAAAGTTTGAAAATCATGGTTTGAAGTCTTTTTCTATAAAAGAGCGGAATTAACTTAATGAAATAACTTTAATTTACTTAAATTAACCTAATATTTCCTTGTGTCGTTTCCTTTTATTAAACATTTTAAGGATAAATTTATGGTTTTAGAGTTCATTCCCGAGTAATTTTAACAGAGAGATAGAGGATCATACTCAGTGAAGGTTCAAAGCATATTGTAATATTGATTGACAGATTACTGGGATACACGACTCCAAGGAGACTACAAACCATTTCGCACCCCAAGTTGGGGTTTAAAGACTTCTGCTCTTGAGCAGAAGACTCCTTGGCAGCGACATTGTGCGGTCTTGTTGCTCAATCAGCTCACCTCTTGGTGGAGGAGAAAGCGCGTTGCGTGACGACAACAAACAACGGCTGCGTAGGAGAATACTTACGGAGAGAATTCATTACAAAAACGATTCTAAGAATGAGGCGACATATTACAAACGCTCAGGTTAACACTTTTAACAGGTGATAGTTGATGATTGGAACTAACGGTCCAAAAAGGAATGCCAGTAGAACAAAACTGATAAAAAATTGTTCTACTGGCAATGATTTCAATGATTAAAGCTGGTCGTTAAGAATATGAAAATTCTGTCTGCGTGCTCCAACCTTTCTATTAAATGTAACTATGCACACGTTTGACAATCGGTAGATTTTCACGAAATAGAGGAAAGTTTAAATGAAAAACTTTGTAACTGTACACATATCCTAAAGAAAAAATGTCGAATATACTCATGTTAAATTCCAAACAATGGTTGATATTCTCAGCGCATTGCTCTTAATACGCAGATACGTTGACTGGAAGCTGTCTCAAGAAAAACCTTTTCGTGATAACCAAAACACGACCAAGCAGCCAAGAAAATTTCTTCGCCACATAAACAACGAAAAAAGAAATTTATTTGATACTATCTTAGGAAGTTAAAATTTCTACAAATTCCGTTTATCTTTGTCAGAGGCTTCAAGCTAATTACATCTGGTGTACAAGAAAGCTCAGAATCCTTTGAAACTTATGCACTGTTTTGAATGATTCTAAAATACAATTGATATGTAAGAGTTTAAGACACAACCAAACACTTGTTTAAATGCCAATCTCTTCCAATTTTTGTCTCTGATCCGTAGAAGATAACAGCCGGTAATAAAAGTTAAGGCTTTTTTTTTAAAGAGATCTCTTTGTTCCCTTAAGATAAAAAGTCCAGTTCCTTTGTTTCTCAAAACCTCAGGAAGACTTCAAAACATACTGAAAGCGGGTGGTGTTGATTCGTTTTTTCCGAAGCAATTACAGGCTTTAACGAAAGACTAACATCCGAAAAAGCCATGAGATTTCGCATCAACTTAGAGTGTGCTCGATGGAAAAGCTTTTTACTCAACACCTGTTTGTATTTCTCGAATGACAAGTAGAACTGGAAGCGCAATGAAATTACACAGGTTCCTATCACCTTAAAAAAGTGGTTGTTGATGAGAGAAATTCACTTTAATCCCCTCTTCTATTTTTACCAAATGAATTTAATTCTCCTTGCAACTAAAATTATTTAATAATAAGCTCCTTCTTTTCTTTGGCCGTTGTCTCCGGATACATTAATCAGTCCTGTGTGAAGAACAAAATCACAGATACATTAGGCGGTTCTTGCCTTTAAATACTGTTTAGATATTCCATTACAATATGTAAACGACTAGGAAAGGAATTCTAGTGCAAAATATCCTTGTGAGATCTATCTTTAGTAGACGGTATACATAGACAAAAAAATCTAATTTTCAAAGAAAGACTCAGTTATCTGGCGCGTTTGCTTACATTTCCTCCCATGGTGGATCAAAAGATTTGGGGCTGCTATAGCAATGTGGCAATAGTTTGGCTCATTACAACTGGTGTCCCACGTAGGGCTCTGTGCGAAAGTAAGATTCAAGTATTCAAAACGGCGAATTCTAACGAAATACTGGTAATACTCGATGATAACTGAAATACTGTTCGACGTTCCTTGGTTGTGTAATTATAACAAAATACATCGTTAATTCAAACTAGGCTTTACATCCTTACTCAGACGCTCAATTCCAGGGAGTAATTCAGCGAGGACTCGTATGAGTGTTATCAAAAAAAACTTCAAACATATCAATTCATTTCCCTTGGATTTGCCAAGTTAGATGATATTTCAGTACCTTGAGCGTCCAGTACTTTGAGGCGCTAAAGGAAAATTTCTCAAAGCATTTCATAACTTACTTTGGGAAGGCAATTTTCCACTTTTTCATCAATTCCAAAAATACCCTTCACTCTAGGCTCCTATGAATTTTCAATTTTTGAGCAAATCTGCACAGACGCCTTGATTCTCGGATTTAAGTGTTTAAGTGTAGTGCATTCGGTAATTCAGTTATTTTAAATTAAAGTTGGTTGCGAAACGTTTTTGTTTAAATGTTTCTGACGGAATAATAATCGAGACAGAAAGTTGCTGATCACGAATGAATCTTTCGTATCCTCGTAAGAGATAAACGCCTGCAAATCTGTAGGAGAGTCTTCCAGGATACGGCTCGGTAGGCGACAGTCTTTGGACGATACTTTGGAGCTTATCAAGCTTTTGCTGAAGAGCTGTTGTATTGTGTAGCAGTGAGTTTAATTTCAGCTGGATTTTCATGTGTTGTAACATTAGACATGGAGCCAAGTAAAAGCGTGGGCACCTTCCGTTGTGTTCACTTTCAAGGATCTGAATGACGTTAAGTATCGGTTTGTCGTGGAGTAAGCATTTATGAAATTTGGTAACTGAAATTCCAATACCTTCTAATGTCTTATTGCTGGAACGTGGAAGCGAATCTGCTTCTCTGATGTACTCCATGGCTGTCGAAAAGGTTCCTTCGGTGTACGCCTCGAATGCTTCGTGGACTAGTCGGCTCATTTCATCTGCTGTACAAGAAGAGTGTTCTGGGGTAGTTCTTGAACCAATTACTCTGGAACTTGGCTCGAGACGACAGATGCAGGAATTCGCCATGTCAGCGATTCTGCAGATATGATGGTCGTGGTCGTATTTGGCAAATATCCTTTCCATCTCTTCCCAGGAAGCTTCTCCCTGCTGACGGCTCTGTGCAAAGTTCTCTGTTACCGAGAATGTAATGACACTGAGCAGTCTTGTCAAGTAGCCATCAATGTATACTTCCAACCCTGTCTGGCGAATACTTTTCAACTTGACCATGGCTAAATTGAGCCACTCCTCACTAGTTGGAATACCCAAATCCTTTTGCAGGAGATTTTCTAGAATCATTTGCAACCGATATGGCATATTCTGAAAAATGGTTACGTACTCAAGAACATTTTCATCTGTGACTTTATGGACCGGAAAAATGTTACATTTTTCAACGAAAAAGTGAGGGATGTTAGCATCATTCAGGGCTTGGTAAACATCTTTCATCATTTCTATGATAAATTCCGTTGCTTTCTTGGATTTCCATTCCTCAATAGGCGTTTGATCGATCTTCCACAGCATCAGTGTTTTGAGATGATAAGAGCTCAAAAGATTGATATCGTGGAATAGAGCCTTGAAAACATACTTGACAATACCGTACATTTTCCTCATTGGAGATGCCATTTGTTGAAAGCAGGCTATTTCAGCCATGGAAAATGAGAGCCGGAACTGCATGTTCTGTTCCTTGGACATTGGGTTTCCAGTTGGAACCAGGAATAGTGGGATATTTTCAACAACTTGTGATTTCCACTCATTTTGAAAACCTACGTCACTTCGGTTTTGACGGTGTATCCAACCCAAGGCTTCCCGTGGCCAACTGACGAGTTTGAGACAAGGAACTCCATCGTACTCATTCATTGCACCCTGTCCAGATATTGAGGGACTGATGGTAGAAGGAAGGACTTCGTTTCTTGTGTAATCTAATCCACAATTTTGTACTACATTCTCTTTAAACTTTCCAGGAATGAGTAAGAATGCATTCTCCGTTTGGTCAAAACTCATGGCCTCGGCGAATATCTTCCCATACATTTCATGACCTTCCAAATACGATTTGTAAGCCTCACTAACGTAAATCCTTCCAAATGAGTTGGACATATCATATTCGTCATCAACGTCTGAGTTTTGCTGAGAACAAGACTTGAAATACATAAAATCTCGGTTACCATTGCAAAAAACCTTAATCCCTACGACCTCAAACATGTAATCGACATCTGTTTGACCACCGATAGGTAAGATTCTTGTCTGTTTTTCAACTCTGCTTCCAGCACGGTGTTGCTTAATCAAAGGTGATAATCTGCTGCCTTTCCAAACTTCATGGTGCATTATCCTAATGTTGTCCACTTCTCTCTGCCACAGGTCGAGTTCATCCAGGTATGACTCTAATATCTTATTAACGCTGTCTAAATTATCAATAGCATTACATTCCAGAATGTTAGACATTTCCCGCTGTGCTATTCTCTTCTAAGTCCTGTCGAAAAATTTGAGAGAAATGTTAATAAATTACACGCGAGATGTTAGCTTTATTTTGTTGTCTGGCAATGGAATCTCCGTTTATTTGGCGGCAAAGGCTATTCTTCTACACCTTATGAGTATGTTTTTGAATCTTTGTCCTCTCAGTTAGGGCCTGCTTCTAATCTCTGAATAGCAATCACATTTAGTCGAATAGTTTTGCATGGCTTGTTAACCGCTTAATAGTAAAAGCACTACTATCCAAGTTGCTTTCCAATCCTGAGTATCGAAAAAGGAAAATATCTGTGAGCTACTCCTTTCTGAACGCAGGGACTTCAGATAGCCTGATTCATTTTTTATGCCCGTATGCCCAGACAGACTATCCGGAACTTATCTCCAAGGTCATTTCCAACGAAGGGTGAGATAAGTAAACCGTGCTACATAACCGTCAGTAACGCTCGCTTCTCGCGTGACATTTGTCGGAATATTTTATGAGCTAAAGACTAATAAAGATTTGTAAACCTTACACGCTGTTTTGACATAGAAAATACAGCGCGATTTCAACACTGTTCGTGTGGGTTATCACATCAAACTTGTTACCAGCGAAGCGTTTGAAGTATCGTTCAACAGAAACAATCGAATCAATAAGTAAATATGAGTTATCTTTAAGGATAATGTCCGTGCGAATAGAATGCAAAAGGAAGAGACAACACCAACGCTCAAATTTAACACACGTACAATGAAAAAGGAATCTCTTTAAAATAATACAAGTGGAAAGTAAAAACGTGCTTTATTCGATGATCAAATCATAAATAGAATAGGAGACACAAATAGTACATCGGATCGGAGACAAAATCCGCTGTCGCAGTTTCATAACAATAACAGTGAAAAGTCTAACAGCATTATAGACGAGTATTTTTAAATTGTTTTACACAGTACATCATAACATACTATAAAAAAAGTTTAAAATTTCAACGGTTTCGACTTTAGAAATATTGACAGGTCAGTAATCAATCGCCCCATATTCAAATGCCCCCGATTCACTTCGTTTTATATACTAATAATACTTATTCGAGGGTTCGTTATACTCTTATCTGGCTTTCCTTAGAAGTCGTGAGTTTGCGAGTGCAAAAGGCGCATCACTTAACTGCGTATAAAGACGTATAAAACTTCAGTGTACTGAACGAATCACCTAACAATGAAACCGCTTAAATAACCTTAAAGTGGTTTCCCTTGTAACGAAAGCCGTCCGTAAAGTACACATCGGGATGATAAACAATTCTACTTCGGCAGCGCGAACCGGACATGCGACTCAGCGGAATTTGAACCCCAGTCACAAACTTGTTTACTCGAAAATAACTCTTAGCGTTAGCACATGCGAAACACTATAGAGGAATAATATGGTTTCATTAGTCAAACGAAACGAGACAAGATGTAACGATAATCATTTCGAATAGATTGTAGGTAGAAAGAAACCTGTCCTCATTGAACGAAGCACGAGGAATCATGGCTGGTGGCGTTTTCTAACGCGAAAAAAAATTGATGTTTTTAACGCGGGTGTAAGACACAAGAGTAGACGAAATCATTAAAAAGCAAATTTTACCTTTTTCCACGGTACTGCAGTTTCGCCGATTCAGTGTTCTTAGAAGGGAAGTAAATCATAGCATATTAATGTTTTACCAGCCACGTGATCTCGCCTGTCTGTCAGTTCAGGATGATGGCCTGCAGATCAAGCGCTAGCGTCACTAGCGAATATTTATTCGAACAAGTACCGCGGCGTTTGTGAAATTTTCGGAGCCTTATATGCGGCGCTGATTTGAGAGGGACAATTATTTTACTTTATCAGTATAAATCAGATTTGTACGAAAAATTTAAAATATCCAAGAGAAGCGTCTTTTGATTGTCACCATCCGTCTCTTTTGGCTCTTTTCAATAGTGCTTTACCAGCGGTGTCCTGTTCGCTCAACTTTGATCCCACTGACTCCTTCTTGATCTGTTTCTGATTCGAGTCTACGATCTGCAGCGTTCATTGAAAGGCGTGCCTCCTCAGCGTCTTACTTGGTGCATTCAAAAGGATCGATTTGCCATTAGTTACCTGAAATGCACACGGGTTACTGCCCTTCCCGCGATATTATAAGTCTGCCCTACTTTGAAACCGTCTACTGGGAGGTTCGAGGTGCAGTTTATGAAATAATTCTTCGCATTAGGGCCTACACGCTTATTCGGGGCGACGATTATTCGAGCGAATACGGTATTTTCCCGACGTTTTCAAGTAAGCGGAAGAGTGCTTGCAGTTATCTCCGCCTGAAATGAAACAACAAATATGAAAACAACGAAAGAAAACGAAACAAAAAGATGACGCCTGCTTTGCAGATTAGAAATCGAAGAGCATGTGGATCACCTTGTGTCTTCCAAAAGTCATTAATTTTTCTCGGAGCCCTGTTAGGTCTTATTTGGGTTTAGCAGGTGCATGGCAGCCATCAAATCACCCTTTAAAAATCGTCTACAGTTAAGGTATACGTTAGCGTATATGTTGTCTTCTATCTACCACTAGGTAAGATAGTAGCAATTGAATGTTTTCTACACAACATTTAGTAGGGCACCTCTTGTAAACTGCTGGGAGATCTTTCACATAAATACTGAAAAAGTGAAGTTCTAGAGGCACTGCCCTTGGGTAGCCTGCAGTCAACAGGTAGGTTGTCCGTAGAATTGCTGCGCCAGCTGAGGTTTCTGGGAAATGAGACTTCTGAGACAATGTTCGTATGATGAAAATGCTCACAGAGTCGGTTGACATTACTTTACATTCCTTACTACGGACATTGTGAGTGTTCCCGAAATGTTGTTATAACCGGCGGTCTCAAAAGCAGGACCTGATAAATGCGACTCCATTTTCAGGTTTCTTTTTCTTCATTTCTCCAGTGCAGAGGAAGAGAGAGGATACTGGGGACAACGTAAACCAGGGCCTACAGGATTCTTGGTCTGCGGAAGATCAGTTTTCACATTCTCTGAATTTTGGCGGGCTGCACAAACGGAGATATATTTTATTTTACTTCCCTGACTTTGGAATCAACCGAACTGAAATTTGTTCTAATCGCAGAACATGAATCAGAAAAATTCAGGAAAGTGTACAGAGCTAAAACTTGCGAAACTTGAAAAAAAAAGAGTCCACAGAGCCAGATTTGACTGAAAAAGATCCCTGCTGTAACGATGTAATGAAGTCAGGCATGGGCCTGAAAGGAGACCAAGGCATCCATGTTCAAAGTATGAAGGCGATAGCAGAAGCTATAGAAGCCGGTAAACCGAACGGAAAAGTATGGGTGGACCACAAAAAAACATATGCTATGCTCAAAAGGAGAATTATTCACTTATATGGTGAGACATTCCATTACAACAAGACTGCTGGGAGAAAGTGGAGAGGAATAGAATCCACCAGGTACAATCGGTATCATATTCGAAAATCTATGCGATTTTTAGAGGCGAATATGGAGAATGACGAAGACTAAAGGACAGGTTCCTAAATAAAAGGTTACCGTCTTTATTATAAGCCCATGAAAGGCGGAATCACAGCGAATAATACTCACAACAAAAATATTTTGATCGTGTTTGACGTAAATATTTATATCAGTAGAGATCGATAGGATTAAAAAGTAGGGAACTCTTTTATATCTAATGATGTAAATTGTTAGCGATGCATATTATGATAAACGAAGTGTAGCTCGATCAATTTTATGATACCTTGGTGTTTGCTTGTGGTATTTGGTATCTGGTATTTCTTTACCCGGCGTCGGTGTTCTCAAACGTACCGTAAATAATTTCCTAGAATGTTTTGATAACCTTTAAGTTAGTCCAAGGAAATTTTCTTTATTTATGGCTATCTTTACAATTGTATCTCAATTTCCATGTCGAAGACAATAACCAGCATGAACAAGCTTAGTTCGATTTCCATTGGAATGCCGTGATGCGGACTCATTTCTTTAACGTTGTAACTTCCAGAGATCGGTTTTAATGAAGATCAAGAGCCCCAACAGATTGTTAAATTGAGTAACTGACACAATCAACCGCCACATGAGTTCCATGTAATATTTACTAAGTTTCAAAGAACTTAAGAATCTATGCATTGTTGAAAGAGCAGATACATTTACTCAGGTTACCCAATTAATTGGGTAACTTGAACGGGTCAAGCAACATTTTCCGCTCTCTCCGTTCAATCGACTGCCATAACTTAATTGGTGCTAATCTGTCTTTCTAAGAATATTACCGGAAGTAATTAAATACTTCCTTTTCAGGGAGAAAAAAACAAACAAAATTTTTCTCCCCAGGCTTCATTTACTTAACAAATAGATTCTAAGTTGCCGTGCGTCTGTTCAGTAATAGATCACAGATGACGTCAAAAGGTGGTAAGAACAAACAAGTGGCACACGAGGCGAAAATTAAAGAATTGAAAAAAGTTTTAATGATGACGTTATCTATACGTCTGTCCTCCAATAGATCATAAGTGAGAACCAATCAAAACGCGTGCATAACTGAGCTTATTATAGAAAATAAAATTGAACAAAGGAACCTAGAGACAAATTTTTGGAGGGTTTTCAGGCTTTTTTGCGAAAAACTACGGAGATCACTCACACGTACTTCGGAATAGGGCTCTTAATGCGTTTTGTGTCTGTAGTATCCTCTCAGACTCTTATTTTGGAGTCTTGAACGAAAACGACAGTGAAAAAAACTTCAGTCTTTGGTTATTCGTTCCCAGATCGCCAACCGTGTAAATCAGGAAGAAAGTAACGCTAATGAACCCTTGAAATACACTTTCAGCATTCTTCGACTCTTCTTGTCGTCTTTCCCGACTGGTTCACCTTCCCAGGGTAGTCAGGCGACTTTTGATTGCAAAATGTTTTCGCACACGTCGAAGAAACGAATTTAAGCCCACTCCATAAACGAAGAATTGCAACAGCATGCGGAGCTTGAGTATGACGGGATCACGAACAGAAATCTACTTTGCTATATCGTTTGTGTTTGTCGCCACGTTTAACGCCAGTCAAGGTAATTTAGAGGGACATCTTGAGCCATTATTCTCACACGGCAAGAGGCTTGAGGTAGAAGTTTACGATGGGTTTCCAACAGCGGAAGAATTCTTCAGAAGATTTGTTGATGTTGAAAAACCTGTTCTTCTCCGCGGCGCAGCGCGACTATTTCCAGCCTTTTCTTTATGGAATGACGAATATTTTCTTTCCTATACCGAGAGTGAGGAACTTTTAGTTACAGTGGAAGTTGACAAAAAAGAGAATCGTTCAGCTCCTGGGGAAGATTTATCATTTGCAGACTTTGTACGCGATATGCACTCTTCAGGGAAATATATGATAAGTTCAGTCCCTGAATTTTTGAGGTAAGTTCCTAGCAGAATTCTTATCCTCCAAGGGGTCTTTTAATGCACAAGGAGTCCTTACCTCAGATCTTACATTCAATTTTCAATTGATTTTTGTAGTTTCCTTTTTGAAACTCCAAGAAGGGATTGACATGTAACGTCTCCCTAGCTAAAATGGCCATCATTATCCTGAAAACAGTCAATAAGGATACTCCAACCCGGAAGGTGGATGTTGTTATCTTGATCTAACGCTAAATTCTCGTCACTAATTTATAAAGAAATGTGTAGCAGCTAAAGGGGATAATTAACAATCAGATCTTGGGAGTTAAAGGATTGATATGAATTGAAATTCTTGTTTGAAGGGAAGACTTATCCCAAATTAGCAACCGTTAAATAATTGCATCAGGTCTGGGAATAAGTACTCCCCCTGCTGCCCCTCCCCCCCATGGAAAAACCTACCCTCTTCCCTTCCCCTGTTTTTATGGATGGATGATTCTATTGCCAAAGAAGTAAAGGGTGTAATTGCTGTTTGCAGTAATTGCACATTTCCAGTTTAATTTGTAATCATTCTGTTTGTTAACTCACACATTGAGTTTGAAGAGGTTGCTACATGCACCAACTGTACTGACATCAAAACTAAGGATCAGCAGTGTTTTTTTTATTAATCAATGGACAATTTATGTTGTTGTTGGCTTGTTCTTAATCTAATAAAATGATGATATTTGAATGCAGTTTGGGAATAATGAAAAACCACTCCCCCCACTGTAAGAGCCCTGCCCTTAAACATGTCCCCTTGATTTGACCTTGATCTGAAATAACTGTGTCAAGTACCAATGCCATGAATTACCATATCACAAACCTTGCTTCAGAGGGAAGATTTTTCTTTTTCTCAGAACAGTTTTTGTAACTGTAGAGAATTCCAAACAGGTACCTTTTTTTCCTCTACTGATTGCTTGCTCATTAATTTGTATTTTATGTTAGGAAGGATATACTTTTGCCATTTCCAATAGCTTGTCATGATATTACACAAGGAAACCTTGTTCACGAAGTAAGTTTATGCTCTTGAACACTGAGCTCTTGTTGTCATATTTATAAGGGTATAGTTATATTCCATGAACAGTCTTACATGTTGGCTGTGTTATTATAATAATTTTAGGTTGTCTTAATTTTAATTTATAATAGTTTTAATTTTTACAAAAGATAATACCACTAGTTATTGAAAGGACATCCTTCCAGTAATCATGCTTAATCCCTTTCTTGATTTTTTATGTGGTCTTTACATGTAATTTAGTAATTTCCCAGTAAGTTATTGTGGTTGCGTAACTATGTTGTTCAAGAACCAAGAACTTCTTTAGTTGGTGATCATTTCCTTCAAGTTTATTAGTGTAATCTTAATGTGTGATTCAGTAGTGTAAAAATGAGATGCCAGTCACTCTTAGGGTCAAATGGATAAACTATAAGCTAGTTGTAGTTGTTTTTTCCTTTGTTTGACAACAATACCATAGTTCTTTTCCAAGGAAAATAAAAACTAAATTATTTTGAAATAATTTGAAACTAAAATCATTTTAAGCATGAAGATATAAACTCCTCTCTGATGGTGACAATTACTCTTTCTGCAGATTTTGTGGTTCAGTAGTGGAGGAACCAAGTCTGTCCTTCACAATGATCATGCAGAAAATATCATGTGTGTGTTTAAGGGAACCAAAGAATTCTTCTTGATAGATAGGGAATATCAGGAGCAGGTAAAATTGTTTTATGTTAAGTTTGCTTCAGGCCTTTCTCTCATCTTTTGGTGTGTGTTGCTGCAGTACCTCATGATCTGGGTGAAATATTATTACAAAATACGTTTGGGAGACAGGGTGGCATATTGCATGTACATGGTCAGTTTGCTGAACTTCAAGGTCACAGTGAAGTCAGGGTTTGACACATGGCTAGGTCAATGTGTGTTGTGTTTTTTGGCAAAACACTTTACTCTCAAAGTGCTTTTCCCCACCCAGAAGTAAAAATGGTCACCTGCAAATTGTCAGGGAAGCCAGATTGAATGCTCCCTCCAGGAGGGAGTAGTGATACATTCAATCAATTCATGCTTTAAGGAATTTTTACTTGAATCAGTTCTGGCTGGATGGGCCACTTGTTTCAAATACGGACTCTACATTTACATTTTATACCTTTACTACTCATTTTAAAATCATTCATAATGCTTTTTTGACAATTTTTTGGTGTCTTATATATACTTTTAGGTAAATGTGACAGAACGTGGATATTCTGAAGTAGATGTGGACAGGTTCGTATAATGGCTATTTGATAAGTACTAGAATAAATGGAAAGATAAATATAAGTATTTAGTGTGTAGTTATCAATAATTAGAAAAGAAATGCAAAACACATGAACCTCTGTTATGTTATTGATATAGATTTGAGTGCAAAAGAGAAATGGGGGTCAAAAGTGGGAAACTTCAGTTGTATTGATGTCCTGACTGTTTGCAGCTTTCAAGTTATTCTTAGCTTTCGATAGTCTTTCCTTACTTGAGGAACTAGGCCAAGAATTAAATGACCCTACAAACCTTTCATTGTAGTTTTGAGACCAAATTTTGTGTAGGTTTAGCATCTTCGGATTAATGTAACCCTTTAACTCCCTGATCAAATTAGTAATTCTCCTTACTGTTAACCATACAATTCTTATAATGTTAATTCAGAGAATTTAGTATTGGATCAACTAATTGACCCCAAATTGATATTTTTCTTTATTCTCTTCGCTTATCTGGTTGATATTGTATTGATATTGTTAGGAGAAATTCTTTCTTGGTCATTCCTAGAAGTTAAAGGGTTAATGTACACAGCCAAGAGGCCTGGGAGCTGGCCCTCATCACTATCGCTTTGGTACAAGTGTTTCTTGGCTCCCAGCAAAGTATGAGGTCTTGAGAAATGCCTTCTGGTGAGAGGTCTGTGAGGGGTCTGGTACTGATGATTATAGTGCCAGACCCTCAGCAAACCTCTTCCGACTCGTCTCAAATCTTCCCACGGACAGAAAAACGTGTGTCCTGCAGTGCTAACATTGAGGACCCTGATCATAGGCTAGTAACCAAGCTACTAAGTAGTGGCCTAATATATCTTTAACCCAATTTGCTGCATTCTTTTTTTTAAGGGTGGACCTGTTCAAGTATCCAGGACTTCACAAAATAGAACATCACTTTGCCTTCATTGAGCCTGGTGATTGCCTTTATGTTCCGTTTCTTTGGTAGGTTCTGTGTTTTTGAAGTTTTACAAATGGTTTTTGTTGTTACCTGGGCTTAGAAGCTGGGCATGATTGCATGTTCTGATCGGCTACCACCACAGGTGGATGGGGCTGAGCCTGCTCTGGTTGTCCACTTTGACCCTTTATACTCTAAATTAGTGCCTATAGTGGGTTTAGTATCTCTGTGATGGCTCAGCCTGCGCTTGTTGGGCACGAGAGTCTCTTCGCTGAAGAAAAGAACGAGACAAAAACTCGCGCAAAGCGAGCCGGATTGAGGTCTGCAAACGGTCTAGCACTGACGTTAATAGTGCCAGACCCTTAGCAAACCTCTCCGCGACTCGTTTCAAATCATCCCGCGGGATGAACGTAGAACGCGCGTCTTGCTGCGTGCCTGCTCATAGGTTGGTGTGAACTCAATATCCTTATGACCCAGCTCGAAGGCGAACTTGGGAGGTTTGAGGTTTGAAATCTAAGGGACCATGAATTTTTTCTTTGCCGCAGGCTCATTTCTTTGAATATTACTTTCGTGTGTAGGGTTCATTATGTGCGGTCTTATGACCTCAACATGGCTGTCAACATTTGGTGGAGGCATGGGGTAAAAGTGAACTTCAGAAACTGTGACACAGAACTGGGAACAACCATCGAAGATTTGACTTTTATTGGGTTTGGAGCACTTCACGATGCCCAGGAAAAGTTGATCAGGTTAAAACTGATTGAGTTACTTCGTTGTCTTTTTTTGCTTACCTCGATGCATGATTCCGACCAAAAATAAACGCACTTTCATTGTAACATGCTGAAGGTTACTTGCTTCAGGAAACATTTAGAGGTAAACTGTGGCGATTACTTATTTCATTTTCTAACCCTTTAACCCCTTACGGTTATGAAACCGAGCCTAAAATGAATGCTGCCACTGTTCAAGTACTCATGGAGGGTAGGAAAAAAATTCTGGTGACTTCAGGGAAGGTCGCGACCTGTCTCAACATCGAAGACAGTGTAGGAACGATTTTGGCTGCTCTCGTCCGATTTCGAACTTCATTGTCCGTTTTCGGACACTTCGTCCTATTTTGAATGTCTTGGTCTGATTTCGAACCTCATCGTTCATTACTATACACTTTCGTCGGATTTCGTACACTCCTGTCTGATTTCCGACTCTTTGATCCGATTTCTGACGCTATAGTCTGTTTTTGGCCACTTTTCTTCCAATTTCAGACACTATTGTCTGATTTCGAACGATTTCGTCCGTTTCTGTCTTCTGATATCGAATGCTATCGTCCATTTTTGGACACTTTCATCCGACTTCGGACATTTTTTTCCGATTTTGGTCGTGTTAGTCAGATTTCGGACGGACACTTGGGTCCGTTGTGAACAACGGCAAGCGTGGGAAAAGACATGTAGCTAGCATCACATTTCGCCGAAGCGTATTTTCGTTAATGTAAAAATCAAGATTTCCCCTTATTGAAAACTGAATTTGCGTTGGTTTGACGACAAATGGTAGAAAGCTTTGAAAGTTTTTCCCTTTTTGACCAAATAATGAAACCATCGTTTTTTTCCGCCATAGAAACCGTTTATTCGAGGCAGTTAAGTTACGTGGTGACAACATTTCACTTAAAGGACTTCAAGGGTTCTTTACACAAGTAAGTGATAACGACTAACCTATTAAAGTTTACGATGAAAAAAGTCGTTCTTCCTTAACAGACATCGGTTTCACCGTTGTTAGAGAAGGCTATTACTTCATTACTGAGCGTTCGTTTTCTTTATTTGTAATTTTTTTTTTCACTTCAGCCAGATGTTTTAGGCCATGATGTGCACTGGTCGGAAGAAATGTATAACGTCTTGCAGAAAGTGAGTGATGAGACCCTTTATTCTTCGTTTGAGCCTCTGATTTTATTGTTGTTCTCTCTGAGTTTTCTCCTCACCTAGCGCCGATTGTGTTTCTTCGAGACGGAGGGTTCAAGCGGTCCTCTGAATTAGACACGTCTGCAAAGAAGTTTGTCCTCGTTGTACTTGCCTGTTTGTGAAAATTCTCCTATATCAAGGCGAAGATTCGTTACGAGAAGAACCCCTACTGAAAACTTTCTCTATTATTTTTGCGTAAGCTCTTCAGTGTCTTGGACCGGACACAAGATGATAAGATAACGTCCGACGACCTGAGTCACTTGCATCAAGAGGTTTGCTCTTTTTTTACGTATATGGCTTATGAACGTTAAGCGAGGGGGGAAGAAGTTTTTTACAACATGAAGAGATAATTTTCTTCTCGTCTTTGACTTATACGTTTATAGCTGGTTATTGGAACTTACGAAAACATTTGGGATGTTCAAATGAATCAGACGTAATCGTCTTGCACGTTAGCCATTCGTCTCAGATGACGAAGGCTCTCGGTTCCAATGGTATGAAGCGATCAGGGCTTATCACTGATTTACCTGGATAAGATGCTGTTGAGTCACACACAGGTTACCCAACTTTAGATTCAGTTGCCCCGCCATATTACCCGTGCTTATTCAGTGTTATTTCCGTCCTGCGGAAGGCGTTGTGAAAGCAAATAGTTTTAGGGTAATGACATGATTTTCAGGAAAACGAAGGCGGGGGGAGGGGTCAGTCGCTGCTAACAGAGTGATAACAGAGTTAAAGGGGGAGTATAGAAAATTGACGACCAATGATGTGGAATCGTCAGAATACTACATGGCTTTCGGCGGAGAGAATCAGCCGAGGGAAATCAGCTGAGTTGTACTGTGACACAACCAGAATCCTCCGATCACCCCTTCCCTTCTGGCGTTAAATAACGGTCGGTCCCAAAATCTCCCTCGTTTCTGACGTAATTTTTGTTTACGTCTAGGATTGGGAACACGTTCGCGTGTTGGTAACTGATTTGACAGATTTATCAATGGCGGAAAACGACATGAGGGATGAAGAGATGATTTCTGAAGCTGAACAATTTGGAGAAGCGATCGAGGATGAATCCGATTTACATACGGAACTATGACAAAAGTACTAAGTAAAATTTTCAATTTGAACCAGCTCTGAGATTCAGGAAACTTTTCGCCCTAACATAGCATTCGTATGCTCCACACTGTCCTCTTTACATTCCTGTGGTACTGACAGGGAGAATTTGTTTGACAATCAGGAGCTTCTAAAATTTGCGATCATTTTCTTTGTTCTTTTTTTATTTTAAGATTGATACTGTAAGGAGAGTTAAGAGGCAGGATCTTCTCTTAAGAGTTAAAGGATAAGGAGTAAATTAGGACTTTATTAAAGGAAAAAACTAAGTGAATTAATAACTTAAAATAGCTGATGAATGATTGAATGGTAAATGAATGAAAGACTAATTGCACTGATATCTCTGTTTAAGACATGATCACTTAAATGTTTAACCCCTTAAACTTTCATATCTTTATCTGAAAGAAAGATTTTGAAAGTGCCAGTCCTTAATGTGGTTTTGGGCTGTTTCGTTGTTGGTAAAATTGGTGTAGAGGTGGTAATGGTGACATTTGTTGCAGCAACCGGCAATTCTTGTTTTGCTGTAAGATCGTTAAAAATGTTCTTGACAATGTCAAGGTTAGTGTAAGTGAGATCTTTATCAACTTTTCTATAAAAAGAGGTGTGAATAAAATTCCGCAAAGCTTCTTTTTGGTAGAGATCAGCCCGCCAAACAACTTATGCGCTGCTTTTGTTTGCCGCTTGAAAACTGTCTCTGCGCTTCTTAGACTTTTTAGTGCCGCTCCTTACTCCTGAAAAATGTTGGAAAGTTTGGTGTTGTGATTAGCCACCGTAGAGGGTAAAAAAGGTGACGTTTCGAGCGTTAGCCCTTCGTCAATCGCTCTGACGAAGGGCTAACGCTCGAAACGTCAGCTTTTTTACCCTCTATGGTGGCTAATTTACGTTTTCAACCCAGTTGTTAACACTAAATTACCTGCTATACTCTCCCACCGACGCAGCATAACAGTTTCTTTAGAAACTTACCCCTTTATTGAAAGAAGTTACATGTTTATCACTTCTAGGTGTTATAGGGTTAATTAGCCCGATCTTCTCTTGCCATTTCGATTATCGTTTTCTTCCTCTCTTTTTTCGATCATACCAAAGTTGTCTTGTAAACACTGGATTGTTCCAAGATTCATTTATTTATTCGGTAATTTATTCATTGATTGACTCATCTAATTTTTGGTAACCAATAGCTCTGCTTAAAAATCTTGCAAAGAGACTGATTGTCCGAAAAGTTTGAAGAAACAAAAAAAATGTTTATCCATCACATCATCCACAGATTTTATTTTTACACATTGTATCCAATGTATGTTTATCATAAGGACAAAATCTCTTTTGGATTTAAAAAGTTTATTTTTACAGCAACATTCTATATTTCAATTTAATCATTTAATAAAGCGGGCGACCATTGAATTGTGGTAAGCTTTGCTGTCTTGATTTGACGTGGTTTCATTTCTGTTGTTCCACTTCGCATCCCAGCTCACGGGCCTGTAAGCAGATGTCTCCTCGGTACTTAAGCTCCAGTTTTGTCTAAACAAGAAATAGAAACATAACAGAATAAATAGCATTAGCAGGCTCTCTCCGTAAAACAGGAGCTACAGGAGGGACGTGTGTTTCAGGAAAATCGCCCGCCTCAATCGTTCTGGCCTTTACTCGACTGTAAGAAGAAAAAAGATGACGCCTCTTCTTGAAGGCTACGTAGACCTAGGACATTTGCAATGTAGCTAGTTGCATACAAGTACGAATGCAGCACAGTACCCAAAATGACACAGGCGCCGTTAAAAAAAAAAAAACTAACTCAAAAAAGTTGTTAGTTACAGGGAAATTTCTGCACTTACCTCTTTCAAGGGTCTGCGGGCGTACATCTTCGAGTACTCTGTTGAATGTTCTCTCTCCTGCATTTTTCTCTAAAATAGGTGAGTTAAAACGCCGTTTACGAGAAGTAATTGAATAATAACGTCAGTTCACACTTAGCTGAAATCGATTATAGTATGGTTTACATCGAAAACTGAACTCATTCAAGAAGAAGAAAAGAAGCAAACAGAACATTCAATGAGAGAGGATTAAAGCTTGTCAAATAATGACGTGATCAAGGGGCTATCATAACACAATTATGGCAGGTTTTGGAAGGAATTTAAGCAGACGGGATTTTTATGATAACTAGTTTACCAGTCCATTACGAGGATTATTGAGGAACATTCCTTCGACCAACACTGAGGAAAAGAGTAATGCCAACATGAAGGTCGCTGCAGTTTTCATCTTGCTTGCACCAGCTTCACTCACTAACTGATAATTTTTCGCTAAACCTCTCGCATATGAAGATATATAGAGGTATGTCAGTCAAAGTAAGATGTATCCGGCTGTTTAGGAGATATTTGAATGGCTCATTATGGAGAAAATTAATGAATATTTCTGGCAGCAGTAGAACCGTTTCCTCTAACGTTCATGACACTACAACGTTATAAATACCTATGTGGCCAGAAAATAATTGCATTTCCCCTTTAAATAAATTATTTTTAATAACTTGCATCGACAATGGTTGCACTTTGAGACCCTTTCAATCCACCGACTAAATTATAATTAATAACGCTATGTGAGGTATCCGCCGCTTTCGCCCCCTGTCGAGTTCGCCCCTTCAAGTTCCCCCCCACCTTATACCGTGTTCGCCCCCACACTTTTCGAGTTCGACCCCCACCAAGTCGAGTTCGCCCCCAGATTGAGTCATGTCTAAATTAGTTGCTATCGAACATTGCAAACAAGTTAGAACCAAGTTTATCTACCGAACATTTCGTGTTCGTTAGATAAACCGAGGTTGGTTTGCATCTTTTCTAGTCTGAATAATAAGTTAAGCAATGTTGTTTTGATTAAGTGTGGTTCTCTTTATCACAAGTTCAGTTTATACAGTTATTTCTGCTATTCCCAGATCCCACGCATAGTATTTAGTTGATTCCGTCAACCCAGTTCCCAAGCAGGTTCACGCAATTGCCGAAATTCAAAATGGTCGTCGCTGACGTGACATTTGGCACATTCTGCTAGTGCCTTCGTCTCAAATCAACTCATCTGGATATCACTCAATCAAGGGGCGAACTCGACTTGATGGGGTCGAACTCGAAAAGTGTGGGGGCGAACACGGCATAAGGTAGGGGCGAACTCGAAGGGGCGAACTCGATAGGGGGCGAACGCGGTGCAATTCCTATGTGATTTGATTTCATTTGCTTTCTGAGTTCAAATACGGTAACCGCGCTTAAACTTGAGTTTTATTCATAATCATAGAATGAATTCTCTCTAACTCTTTGGTCTTGATTCGCAGTTATTCTCCTAAAAGTCATCGAGGCTGGCATTAGCATCTTTGAATTAACTTCCTACTCCTTCAGGTAATTCCCATATCTTGAGGGCTAAAATTTACAATAGGTTTATCTATCGAAATTCGTGGACACAACATCCCATGCAAGCGGACCCTATTGTGAGAAATAATGTTTGTATGGAACTTGTCCGTGTAACGTAAGGCTTTTAAACGAGTTTTTTTTAGTGATAAGAGTGGAAATATTTTTTTTCTCGGAGTGTTTTTGGATGTAGATTTTTCTAATGATGTACCACCCCCCAGTGTGTGCATTGTAGTCCAAGCTGCTGGTTCGATTAGACCCCCAAAGGAATATGTTTTTAAAAGGAAACGGTGAATTGTTTTCCTACTCACCGAAATCTTCCTGAGGAAAAACTTAAAAGTTCTTATACATTTTCGTATGATGCGATTACGTAACCCTTTACAATCAAAATCCTGTCCTTGAAGAGTTTTCCTGCATTTCTGTTTCCTCAGTTTATTAGAACATTTTCTGGACAACAAGAAACTTCGCCATAGGCCAAACTAATATACCCCACCTCCTATTCAAATTATCATTCTACAGATTGTAAAACCCCTTAGTGCTTCTTTCTTTGGTTAAATTCGGAATCCTGCCGACATCGCTTGACCCTTTTTTTTTTGGCATGAAATCGACAATAAACGTGCTTAATTTAACGTAAACTTTTTATTTATTCGGAAACGAACTCAAAACACTCCTCAAGGCTGTCACCAGCTGGTAGTTCCAGCACAAAAACCTCCTCGAATGATTGAATCCATCATCATAGCGAGAACTGGGGTAAAGCTAGATGCTGATAGAACTGAGAACTCTGTTATTTAGGGAAAGTGCCTTTCGACTGATAACTTGGTTTAATACCTTAAATTTACAGAATTTGAAAAAAAGATTACTTATCTCTTCTGTTCCTATTTACACTCCAGCTCCCTCCAGTACTGCATCTCACGCTGTGCCTGAAGTGTCTTTGGGTCGGCTCTTCCTCCAGTCTTCTTTTAATTTCGAAACTCGTTTTCTTTCCGCTCATTTTCGTTAATTATGATTGTTATTTGGGTGGCGTTTTGTTCTGATTTGAAAATGTTTTTGCATCCTCTTTTGTTTCGACTCATGCTCAACTTAATGTTGGCGCACTTTAATTTACAAAAAGTAAGAATCAAAATTGGTATGTTAAATAGCTTAGCCAAGGTGTAATGAACAGTAAACAATAAAAAAGGCGAAATAACAGAGTTGTCTCTTAAACAGGGTAATTTAGTACTATCAACTGAGTTGATAACGTAAATTGACCACCGTAAAGAGTATTATAGTCCTTTTGTCAGAGCGAAACGTCAGCTTTTTAAAGACTCTTTACGGTGGCCAATTTACGTTGTCAACTCTGTTGACAATACTAAATTACCATGTTATGCTCTCCCACCACAGTTGATTGTTCCAAGATTCCTTCATTTTTAAGCATTGTTAAGTAATTGATTCAGATTTTGAGATTTCCACCATAAAAATAAAGACAATTTTGCATTTATTTAATTTGGAGTATCAATTTCTGTTTTATTTGAAATAGTGAAAATTAGCACAATGTAAAAGCATGAACATGAGGCCTATGCCTACCCGACAGCTCAAGTGCGGCCTTTCAGGAACATATATACCTATTGAATTTATAATAGGTTTATAAAATTTACAATAGGTTTATATATGGAAATTCGTGGACACAACAGCCCGTGCAAGCGTGAGAAATTTTGTTTGTGGGGAACTTGTCTATGTAACGTTAGGCTTTAAAGCGAGTTTTTTTCGTGACAACAAAATATACGAAAATTAATTTTTTTTTCTCGAATTGTTTTTGAATGTATATTTTTCTAATAATCAACCACCCCCCAGTGTGTGCATTGTAGTCCAAGCTGCTGGTTCGATTAGACCCCCAAAGGAATATGTTTTTAAATAGAAACGGTGAACATATTTCCTACCCACCAAAATCGTCCTGGGGAAAAACTTTCTCAAGAACTCCACATTTTCATATGATTTGATCGCGGAGCCCTAAAGAATGAAAAGTCTCAAAATCCCGTCCTCGAAGAGTTTTACTAGCAACTGTTGCTTCAGTTTGTCAGATCATTTTCTGGACAACAAGAGACCTCGCCAAAGGCCAAGCTTAATATCCCTCCCTCTTATTCAAATTATTATTCTTTGGTTAAATTCGGAATCCTCCCGACATCGGTTGACGCTTTTTTGGTATGAAATCGACAATAAACGTGCTTAATTTACCATTTCTAAACTTTTTGTTTATTCGGAAACGAATTCAAAACACTCCCCAAGGTTGTCACCAGCTGGTAGTTCCAACGCAAAAACTCCTAAAATGATTAAATACATGCATCATCATAGCGAGAATTGGGGTAAAGCTAGATGCTAATAAAAAGAACTCTGTGTATTAAGGAAATTGCCTTTCGAACGATATCTTGGTTTAGGGCGTTAAATTTACAGACCCTTGATAAAAAGGAAGTTATTCATCTTTTTTTGTTCCTATTTACACTCCAGCTCCTTCCGATACTGCATCTCACGCTGTGTCCGAAATGTCTGTGAGTCGGCTCTTCCTCCAGTCTTCTTTTAATTTCGAGACTCATTTTCTTCCCGCTCGATTTTCGTTACATACGGTTGTTATTTGTATAGCATTTTGTTCTGATTTGAAAATGTTTTTGCATCCTCTTTTATGTTCAACTTGATGTTGGTGCGCTCTATTTTTAAAAAGTAAAAGTCAAAATTGGTATGTTCAATTGCTCAGCCAAGCTGCAATGAACAGTAAACAATGAAGTAGGTGAGATAACTAAGCTCTCTCTTAAACAGGGTAATTTAATATTATCAACTGAGTTGATAACGTAAATTGTCCACCGTAAAGAGTTCTAAAGCTGATGACGTTACGAGCGTTAGCCCTTCGTCGGAGCGAAACGTCAGCTTTACGACTCTTTACGGTGGCCAATTTATGTTATCAACACTGTTGATAATACTATATTACCATGTTATGCTCTCCCACCACCCACCACAACTGGTTGTTCCAAGACTCCGGCTTCATTTTTTGGTATTTGATTCAAATTTTGAGATCTCCACCATAAAATAAAGACAATTTTGCATTTCTTTACATAAGTGAATTTAAATTTGAAGTATCAACTTCTGTTTTATTAAAAATAGTGAAAAATGTGAAAGTATGAACACTATGCCTATGCCTGCCAACTAGTCCAAGCGCGGCCTTTCAAGTACTGATATTGCTGATAGCCCATCTGCTTCTCTGGGCTATGACATGGCTCTCGCATGGGGTGCTAAGCTATTGTAATAACCCCGATCCAGTTTCACTTTCAGGTTGGTTTAGCTGTTCCTCTCCCATAACTGGCTTTGGTCACGATCCTTATCAGTTTTTCTTGTGCCTCTTCCGTTATGCAGTCTTCTGTCCCGTCAGAATTAGACTCTTCATTGTGAATATGAAAGCGATATTCGCAGTCATGAACACTACTTGAGCAGTAGTGAAAATAAGGCCTGAAAAAAAATTAAATATATGTATACATATTTCCGATAGATAAATAAATCTTGATTTTAGTCTATCCTTGCGGTAAAGCGCTCAATGCGTTCGCAGAGCGTAGTATATCTGAAAGTTGGACAAATCAATAAGACATGATAAAACTTTTCTGTGACTCTGAGTTTCACGCTTACGCGATCATCAGACAGATTCGCGTAAGCGTGAAACTCAGAGTCACAGTTATAGGGTTAATTAGCCCAGCCTTCTCTCTCCATTTCGATTATCGTTTTCTTCCCTCTTTTTTCGATCATTATATTGTCATATGCATAGCATGGAAAATTTGTTGTCATCCTTTTTCACATCGGAATTATTTTAGCGCGCTTTAATTAGAAAAAGTACCAATCAAAATGTTCGGTTACTCAGCTAAGGTGCGACAAATGGTAAACTATAATAAGTGAAATAACAAAGTTGTCTTGTAAATACTGGATTGTTCCAAGATTCATTTATTTATTCAGTAATTCATTTATTGATTGCTTCATCTAATTTTTGGTAACCAATAGCTCTGGTTAAAAATCTTGCAAAGAGACTGAATGTCCGAAAAGTTTGAAGAAACAAAGAAATGTTTATCCATTACATCATCCACAGATTTTATTTTTACACATTGTAACCAATGTATGTTAATCATAAGGACACAATCTCTTTTGGATTTAAAAAGTTTATTTTTAACAGTAACAATCTATATTTCAATTTAATGATTTAATAAAGCAGGCGACCGTTGAATTATTCTGTTATTCCTCTTTGCATCCCAGCTCACGGGCCTGTAAGCAGATGTCTCTTCGGTACTTAAGCTCCAGTTTTGTCTAAACAAGAAATACAAACATGACAGAATAATTAGAATTAGTGGGCTCTCTCTGTGAAACAGGAGCAACAGGAAGGGTGCGTGTTTCAGGAAAAATCGCCCGCCTCAGTCGTACTGGCCTTCACTCGCCTGTAAGAAGAAAAAAGATGACGCCTCTTCTTGAAGGCTAAGTAGACCTAAGAAATTTACATGTAGCTCGTTGCATACAAGTACGAATGCAGCACAGTACTTAAAATGACACAGGAGCCGCTTAAAAAAAACAAAACCAACTCAAAAAAGTTGTCAGCTACAGGGAGATTTCTGCACTAACCTCTTTCAAGCGTCTGCGGGCGTTCATCT